TCTGTAAATTCAAAAAAAAAACATGCAGAACTGAAAAAATACTGCAAACTTTTCAATTTAATAACCAAGGGTAAGTCTCTATCTCTTCTCTTTGAAATCACAAAGAAACTGGGGTGGACATTTGCTTCAACGTGGATGGAACTGGAGGGCATTATGCTGAGTGAAATAAGTCAATCGGAGAAGGACAAACATTATATGTTCTCATTCATTTGGGGAATATGAATAATAGTGAAAGGGAATATAAGGGAAGGGAGAAGAAATGTGTGGGAAATATCAGAAAGGGAGACAGAACATAAAGACTTCTAACTCTGGGAAATGAACTAGGGGTGGTGGAGGGGGAGGAGGGCGGGGGTGGGGGTGAATGGGTGACGGGCACTGAGGGGGACACTTGACGGGATGAGCACTGGGTGTTATTCTGTATGTTGGTAAACTGAACACCAATAAAAATTAATTTATTAAAAAAAAAGAAACTGGGGTGGAGTTTGCTCAGAATCTGTCTTCAGGCCCCTTGCTATAAGAGCTCTGTAAAGATGAAAGCAACCTCATTACAACTTATTTTTACATTTAAGCCATCAAGCCCCCTTAGGATAGGGCCCAGACTCAACCACATTCACTGAATTTAGCTTTAGAGTAGTAGGAAGAGAGAAGACTTTTCAAAAAAGTTACCCCAGTAATAACATTAAGTCACCTTTATTAAACACTTATTACATCCAAGGTTCTATTATTACCGTCCCCATTTTACACATGAGGAAAATGGAGTCCAGAGAGGTTAGTTAACTTTCCCACGGCCACCCTGAGAGTCATCGCAGTGCCTGAACGCTTGTTCGCTAGTGTACCGCCTCTCCATGACTTGGCATTGGCCGTCTTTCAATACTCACACCCATCTGGAAACGTCACGTGTCATCTCCCACTTGCTCTCTTCCCACCCTCTTCCACCTCCATTCTCTGCCTGTGACCTTCCAGCTGACTAGAAATAAGCACAAACATCTCATGTTTCTCCCAACTTTGGTTCCCCAGCTTATTGACAAATTACTTTGAAGTGCTGTAGCAATCACATTTATGTCCAATAACCTTTCTGCAATTGATCATGTCCTTGAAACTCATCAAAAATCATAAATATGCTGACAAACTGTCTAAACACATCAGTGTCCTTTGCTGAAAAACATAGGGGAGTTTGGTTTCTATCCTGGTGAGGGCCCAGTCCCTTGACAGTGATTTGTGAGACACAAGATTTGAGTATTTGAGAATTTCTGGTCTATAGCAAAGAGTGACAGTCTGGTGTACTTCAAGACTCTAGACAGCATCAAGGCTGAAGCACAGCAGTACTCGGGCTTTGTAAAGGGCATGAATCTTCAAGTGCATTCCATTGACTCCTTCCCACCTTGGCTCCCTCCAGTGGTTGGAGATGATGGGTTCTAAGCCCCGTCACAAGTCTCTCCCACCCAAGAGCTCTACCAAAGCCCCCTTGCGTGTTTGCTGCTGTGACTATCCAAAGGGACGATGGAATCAAACGAAGGCTAACACTCTTAGACTCACTCAAGACCCAAGAATGCATTGTTGAGAATATTGGCCCTGAAGTCTTCCCGTCAACTATTTACACAAAAAATTTCCTTGTCTGTCCTTCACACATCATAACTCTGTCCTACCTATTTCAGCTACACACTGGTACTGTGCAAAACTGAGTGACTGGGGCTGGCTGTGCAATGCCTCTCTTTCCAGGCTTAGTCAATGGACACTTTCTTCCTCTATTCTACTCTTTCCCTCTCCCCTTTTTTCATCACTTAGTCCCCATACTCCAATATAGTTTTATCAACCCGAGAATTTACCGAAAATGAAGAATGAGCAACTCAGAAACTGTAACTGATGGCTCCTGTGTAAGGAAAGGAGTACAGGGAAGACATGAGAGGGGAAGAGAGGAGAAGCTCCTATATCCCAATACCCTGGTTCTCCTCCCCAGACAGTTCTTAGGAAAAAGAAGACATTTGACTGTGGAAGTAAATGAGTGCTTCCCTTCATCAGACAACACATCTGTCCTGAAGGATTGTGTGTAAGTTCAATTCCATTCATTTATTTATTAGACATTTGATAGACCTCTTCCAGGTGAGGACTCTACAGCAGACTCCGGGAGATAAAGAGATGAAGTAGACTTAGACTGTCCTTTGAGAGATCAGACTTGTAAACAGATAACTAACTAGAATACAGGGTTGAAACTGGCAAAATCACAATTCACATAAAGTGTTCTGGAACTAAAAAGAAGAAACAGAGAGGATAGGCACGGGAGGAACACGGGAACAGAGGCACAGAAGCTGTAATCTGATGTTACAGGTGGCAGAGGAGCATCTGGGTTAAAGTAATCATGCTGTTTCTTAAATATAACACCCTGAACTCTGCTACCGTGATGCTCAGGGTTCCCTAGCCAGCAGAAAGCTTGAGCTATCATCCTTAGAGCCACAGAGAAAGTAGATGTGAAACTGTTATGGAGGAAAAAACAAACCATTATCAATGAAGAACTATTTTTGATCCATTATATCTCAAGAGAACTTTGATTTCAATCCATTCAGGGAAATCAATGCGTTTTAATCTTGCCTAACAATAAAAATAAACCACTAAAGTGTAGCCTCCAGGATTCTAGAAGATAAGCTCACCCTTCCTTCCTTCCTTCCTTCCTTCCTTCCTTCCTTCCTTCCTTCTCTTTCTTTTCCTTTCTTCCTCCCTCCCTCCCTCCCTCTCTCCCTCCCTCCCTTCCTTCCTTCCTTTTTCTGTGCAAGAAACCACTGGCCTCAGGAAAATGGCCACACATGTTTAGAGGTCCTGGATGCCTGAAGGCTGGTGCATGGGAGCAAACAGTGCATGCTGCATGACTTGACCCCCAGGCTCTCCAGGCTTGTCTCTGGGTCCAGTGAGTACAGGGACAGGCAGGGCCACAAGCAGGGGGACATGCCTGGCTGCCAGGGTCAATCTTGCTTTTAAACTGAGCTGCTAATCCTGAAGCTCTTTCTTGTCTACACATCTTCCCTAGACCTCCCATCCTCACTTTTGTCCCCAAATTGTTACTGGGTGACTAAATAAATTAATAAATTAAGTAACCATGCTTTAATATTGGTTAGAACACTAGAATTTGCAAATTATCTTATCAAAAATTAGAGCTGAATCAAGATTATCCCCATGTTACTCTCATGTTTATCTCAGTATGTCTCCTTCCCTAAAACATCTGAGGTTTGTAGGCTTCCTAGGGAGTTATGCCTTTGCTCTTCACAAAAGCTGAGTAGTAACTCAAACTTTGACTTGGGTTCCATAAATCTATGTAACACTTTTCTATTATTACTCATGTAGGGGGAAAACTTCATTGCACATATTAGAACTTACAGAAACTAAAGTGTAATCTAGTCACTCCTTAATTCAGAAATTTTATAAAAATGACAAGATACACCACACCTAAGAGACTCATATTTAACTTTCAAGATTTTTAATTATGAGTCTTTACTGATTCATAAAATAAACATTTGCTATGAAACTGTCCACATTAGATCTACTTTATATACTATATAAACAGAAACTGACTTTTTAAAATATGTTAAATAGAATTCCAATCATATTCATTGGAAAAAAACCACTAAAACTTGATGCCAAGGACTTCAAAACTCTGCAGAATGGGTAAATTACTTTTTACTGTTTTTTTTAAAGAAAAGTTAATTTGTCAAGCCATATGCAAACTCAATTTTCTACAGTGGAAAAATATGGTTTCTCAGAAACATGAATTGGATTTGGTCTGTGACCCTGGTGGCTCAACAGAGGATTCCTCAAAAAAGAAAAAAAACAATATATATTCTAAAACTCTTTCTTTAAACCTTACTCTCTGAAGCAACACATCCTCTGAGCTCTCCTGGAAGGAGAGGAGACTTTGTCATCAGAGGTGTGATGCTGGTCCCCACATTTCCCCTCCAAGGCCATGGACGTGGTTACCAAATTCCACTTTCTCAAAGCCACTCAATCCAGAGGGAGAAGGGGAGAGATCTTTGGCAAATAGCATCTAAGAGCAGAGGGGACTGTGCCAACAAATCTCATTCTTCATTTTGGGAGCTGGCCATTGTTTTCCATCATCTCTGCAACAGAGAAAGTGCTAAGCCTGGGAGGCCAGTTTCTGAACCTACTGGAGATACCACAGGAGTTTTTGCTACCTTCAAACCTGCTGGGCCCTAAAAATGCAAGCATTCATAGACAGTTATCCTAGGAAGTTGGAAGTTGTGATTAACCACTGCTAATCTTTTTTGCTCAGAGATGGCTGGTCAATCTTATTCCTGGGGAGTTTGAGAATACCAGGCTCAGATGCCATTACTTACATGTATTAAATGGCATAACACAAGGAACCCAGACCTTCCTAAAGGTCACTGCTGCCACAGAACACAACACCAAAAGATGTTAACAGGTTTGAAGAAAATATAAAAATGAAGTGTTCCTTGGTTGGGTACATTTGGAAAATGCTGATTTAAATATAGTTAAGCAAATTTTTTGGCTACAGGACATCTCAGGGCTTTTCATAGATTTTAGTAGCACTGAGAATCTCCAAGATGACTTCACTGAGTCTTTGGTTTGCTTTATCTTCCATCCTCAAGCACCTTCAATGAAAAGAAGCATTTTAGCTTACAAATGACAGAAACTAAGTTTTAAAAACCTAACAATAAATATTTCATGAGCTTTGGGACGTAAACACCAGTCTGGGATACACACACACACACACACACACACACACACACACACCTCAATCCAAAATCTCCAATTTATCAAAACCAAAAACATCTTTTCTTCACTTCACTTTATAATTCTCTCAGGAAATGGGTAGAATGCTACATTTAGAGTGATCGAGTACAATCTCTTAAGATAAAATAGTTGAATTTAAATCTGTAGCTGGTGAAGATCAGGGACATCTATAAACAGATATTTTTATTTGTGTTACACAACTTGACACGCATTCATTTCACTAGTGTTAAGAATTGATTGTGGTGCTTGCTTCAGCAACACATATGCTAAAACTGGAACCATTACAGAGATTAGCAAGGCCTCTGCAAAAGGATAACACGCAAACCTGTAAAGCATTCCATATAAAAACAAAAAAAGAATCAACTATGATTACTTGATGTTACATCTTGACCTGTGCTTTAAGCCTGACTGAGCATGTCTTGATTATATGAATTATTGATTAATTCAGGTGCTATTATTATTTAAAATGCAACTCACTAATTGGATTTTCCTCAATCACTTATGACTTGCTGATCAGTTTCAAAGCACAGAGGACTCTTTTTTTTAATTTATTTTTTATTGGTGTTCAACTTGCCAACATATAACACCCAGTGCTCATCCCATCAAGTGCCCACTCAGTGCCCGTCACCCAGTCACCCCCATCCCCCGCCCCCTCCCTTCCTACCACCCCTTGTTTGTTTCCCAGAGTTAGGAGTCTCTCATGTTCTGTCTCCCTTTCTGATATTTCCCACTCATTTTTTCTCCTTTCCCCTTTATTCCCTTTCACTATTTTTTATATTCCCCAAAAGAATGAGACCATATAATGTTTGTCCTTCTCTGATTGACTTATCTCACTCAGCATAGTACCCTCCAGTTCCATCCACATCAAAGCAAATGGGTGTTTGTCATTTCTAATGGCTGAGTAATATTCCATTGTATACACAGACCACATCTTCTTTATACATTCATCTTTCGATGGACACCGAAGCTCCTTCCACAGTTTGGCTATTGTGGACATTGCTGCTAGAAACATCGGGGTGTGGGTGTCCCTGCATTTCACTGCATCTGTGTCTTTGGGGTAAATCCCCAGAAGTGCAATTGCTGGGTCGTAGGGCTTATCTATTTTTAACTCTTTGAGGAACCTCCACACAGTTTTCCAGAGTGGCTGCACCAGTTCACATTCCCACCAACAGTGCAAGAGGGTTCCCCTTTCTCCACATCCTCTCCAACATTTGTTGTTTCCTGCCTTGTTAATTTCCCCCATTCTCACTGGTGTGAGGTGGGATCTCACTGTGGTTTTGATTTGTATTTCCCTGATGGCAAGTGATGCAGAGCATTTTCTCATGTGCTTGTTGGCCATGTCTATGTCTTCCTCTGAAGCACAGAGGACTCTTACTTCCATGGGATTGTAAGTGCACAGTAAAATATAAAAGATAAGTATAAAAGAAAAGTCTAAAACATAAAAACTGTTTTCTTACCCAAGAGCAAGAGATAAGGAAACTAATCAATGTTGTCTGTGGACAGTGGATATTCTACCCACATGATCTTCAAAGAAAGAAATGTTTGTAGATCAAAAATAGCCCTTCTAGGGATCCCTGGGTGGCGCAGCGGTTTAGCGCCTGCTTTTGGCCCAGGGCGCGATCCTGGAGACTCGGGATCGAATCCCACGTCAGGCTCCCGGTGCATGAGCCTGCTTCTCCCTCTGCCTATGTCCCTGCCTCTCTCTCTCTCTGTGATTATCATAAATAAATAAAAATTTTAAAAAAAGTTAAAAAAATAGCCCTTCTAGCAGCACCAGGGAAGTGGATTACCATGTAACTGCACATTTAAAATAAAGATAAGGACCCTTTTCAACTACCAAGACTTTCCAAGTTAGAACTGACTTGTCCATACAATGCTATGAATGATTCTCATAGCAATGCTTTGGGATGGAGAAAGTAGGATTGCCCCTCACGCAAGAGGGTTCTTAAACTGCTTCTAGTTTCTGCATGAAGACAAATTTCCTTAGTCTCCTCATAATTCCAGCCCCTTTTCATCATGCTTGACCAAAGGGACTGAGCTTTCTGATGCTATCTTGTCCAGTGGCCTTGATATAGCCCCTAAAGATGACATTAAGATTTGCCTCTAAATAAACTCTCCTTTATGTACAATTAAGAAAAACTTCTGCGTGTAATCCTCAACTTGGTTCCTAGATACAGAGGTGTTGATGTTCATGAATTTCTTCTAACAGTTGCTATAGACTTGCTTCATATTAGGCAGTATTCCCACTTTCTCTGAGGGACACATGATCCTTGCACCACCTGAGCTGTATCGATTCTACACAGCCAAACAGCACAGTCGCAAAACAGAAATCTGTTTCTGATGTTTGATAAACCTATCCTACAGCTTTTAAGAGGCCTGAAGGTATCTGGGGATCTGAATATATGAGTTTGGATCCAAAAAGATATCCTTTTTTTCTCAAGTTCTTCCAGAATTATGTAGAATGCTCTCCTGTTCATGCTCTCCTTATATTCCTCCTCCATGAGCTCCAAGGAGTTCACGGTCTACTACTGTTTCACGGCACTTACCACTTTCTAGGGTGCTTGCTTATTATTCCAGCCCTCATTGGTTCCCCCCCCCCACTCAAGTATGAGCACAAGGCCAGACCTAGCACAGAGTAGAAGCACCAGAAGCGTGCACTGAAAGGATCATGAGCCACAACACTGCTCACATCTCCTGAATGCTGGGAAGTACTTGCAATGGCCCAAATACACAGTCTTCACTGCCTCCCACTGCCCTTGCTTGATGACTGTCTCCCTGCCCGGAATGTCCTGCCCCATGTCTTTACTGATTGAAGACACATCTATCCTCCAAAGGCACATTCCTCAAAGCACTGTCTCCAAGAGTGCTTTTCTGATCCTCTTTTCGGGGCCCCTGATGGCACCTTCCCTCATTGGCACCTGTATGAAGGTCATGTGTTGCCAGTCTCTCCCTTCTGTTGGGAAACAGGGTTGGTTCCTCTCAATTACTCATGGTTATCTGAACCTAGCTTATAAAACTGCGAGGAATAAATCACATTCAGTTGGGTGAGGACTATGACAAGAGCTTGCTGTCTTCTCCAGAGACCCTACGGTTCAGGGAAAGAATGACCGAGGATATAGAAAAATATGTTGGAAACAATGTAGGAGAGATGACTTCTTATGCAGGGCCCTCTCTTTACATAAAAGTGTATTTGAAGTGAACCACTGAAAAAGGTCTTAGTAAATCATTAAATTAAGAACCTGATAGGTAAATTTTCTCACCCTTCAGTTCAGTTGAAAATATTACAAGCCACCTGGTGAAACAGACCAAAGAAAATGACACTCAAACTCCTCATAACAGAACTTCCTAAACAGCGTGATTAACATAAAGTAGGAAATCCTGAATTTGAGTCAAGAACCTGCAAGTATTACAGATCATATTGGAATATTGTAGGCCATTCCTTGTCCATATTTAGTGTGGTTCATTCTACTTGACTACCAGAGGAAGCTACCAAGGAAGCAAGAATGCAGTTTTCAGGGATCTGATTCCTACACTTCTGGTTTCTGGGCAAACCAGGGTGTCTTCCATTTATTTGCTCAGCCGTTCAGGTCCTTAATAGTTACATACTAGGGGCAAGGCACTGTGCTGGCTAATTTTACTATTGCTGTCATCAGCCCTGAAAACTCAAAGAACTACAGAGAAACAACAATTATTATATCAAAGGAGAACTGTCAAAAGAATTATCAAGTAGTCAGAACGTTGAAGAGTCTAAGAATCAAACGGAAAAATCAATGTGGTCAGACAGGTTGGGTTCTCTATCCAAAGACATTAACATTTTTATTTATTTTGTAAGATAGCAGGGCACCACTGCAAATTTCTGAGAAAGAGACTTCCAAGATCAAACCAACTCTAAGAGAGACGATGCAGGGAACTCAAGCAGACAGGGTGAGGAAAGAAAGGTTTGAGTTTAGAAGGTAGTTGTTATAGAAGGAAGAGAAGTTGCAAGAGAGGGCGGATTTCAGACATGTTCTACAGGAGGCGGAGTAATAGGAGAAGGGAATAAGGGTAAGTAAGGTAAGAGGCCAACGTGATACTACCTATCATGACCGGCCTGGGGACAGTGTTAGCTGGAGTGGTTGAAAGTCACAAGGCCAGAGAGGTTTCTTACTAAAGGGAAAGTGGGTTATGGAAGAGTCTAGAGAGAAAATTCACCAGCTTTGGGTTCTCTTACATGCTTAAGCATCAATGAAAATGCTAGAAAACCCATCTTTACTTAACAAGAATGATCAATCTGACCACACAGACACGAGAGATGTTTGGGCAGGTGACTTGGAGATCTCTTTCAGTTTGGGAGAGTTCACAATCCTACAAGACACGTGCACAGAGATAATCTGAAATTTGACTAATCACTGGAGTGCTCTAAGGGAGTGATTTAAGGAGAAGATAAAACCTCGGAAATACTCAATTAGAAGGATGGAGGGAGTAACCAGGAGCTTCTCCACTCCAGACAAAATGAGGGTCGGGGAAGGATATGAAGAGAATTGGAAACAAGAGATACAGACGTAATAGATTTTGCATAATGTCAAAGATCAACAATTTCAGCACTCCCTAACTCTATGCCACTTTATTCTATTTGAGGAATAATTTGTTCTTTGTCAATAATTTCTTAATTGCATGAAGTTTTTTTTTTCACCAGTGTTCAATTTATTAGCAATGGCATTTACAAAAACCATTTCAATCGGCCTTTCTTCCCAGGAAAGATCGCCTAACCTGGGCGATCTCCTTCCCAGCCCTGCACAAAGCCTATCTGCCCGGAATGGCTTAGCCGGTGTCTGTCTCGGGGGGGGGGGGGGCTTGGGACAAAGAAAAGGGATTTACATAAAGGTGGTCAGCTGAACACAGCCCCTACATGAGGCTGTATAGAACTGAAAGGGCCATTCTCCAACCTGGCACTGTAATCCTCATGGAGAGCTTTTGTCCCAGAGGCCACGGTAGGCTGCTTTATTCAGCTGACAATAGGCAGAGAAAGAATGAATGAAACGCCTCCTTTTGGTAAAGCTAAGGCAGCTGGTAGCCCACAAGCCTGACAGCTTACGGAATAAGAGGCAGGACAATTGTTAGTCCCAGACCCAAAAGGTGTTCTGTAAGGGAGTGCCCACTGCTAGTGCTCCTGGCTGCACACTGGGTGTTCACCGCTCAAGACAAAGGTCCTGGAACCACCTTCACATCAGAAAGGAGCAGTGGGATCTGGAAGCTCCGGCAAAGCCCTGCCCTACAATCCTCCCGAAAGAAAAAGAAAAAAAATTCTGTCACTCCATAACCCCTTCCATAGCTTTGTAGAACACTATAATCATTTCCATTCGAATGC